TGCGAGCCACAAAGCTCCAGGCCACAGCCGGCTCCCTCCCCCACAGGGACGATGAGCTTTTCCAGTACCTGCTGCAGCTGGTGCAGGTGCTCAAGTACGAGTCCTACCTCGACTGCGAGCTGACCAAGTTCCTGCTGGACCGGGCCCTGGCCAACCGCAAGATCGGCCACTTCCTCTTCTGGCACCTCCGGTAGCTGGATTCAGCTGGCCTCCCTGGAAGGCCGTGGGGAGGGTGGCGGGGCTCTTGCCTGCTGGCCCCGCATTCCCTGCCGGCCTGGGCGTCCTGGCCCGGCTGGGAGGGCCCCATGGCTTGCTGGGGGAGACTCAGCCCCTCCTCCCCCTCTCCAGCTCCGAGATGCACGTGCCGTCGGTGGCCCTGCGCTTCGGCCTCATCATGGAGGCTTACTGCAGGGGCAGCACCCATCACATGAAGGTGCTGATGAAGCAGGTGAGGCTCTGGCCCCCGCCCTTGCCCCTGGCTGGGCTCCGCTCCCGCTCCCAGGCGGGGTCAGCCTGGCCGCTTCAGAATCGCCCGCCCCTCCAGGCCTGACTGCGCCGCCCTCCATTGTCCTGGCCAGGGGGAAGCGCTGAGCAAGCTGAAGGCCCTGAACGACTTTGTCAAAGTGAGCTCCCAGAAGAGCCCCAAGCCCCAGACCAAGGAGCTGATGCACCTGTGCATGCGCCAGGAGACCTACCTGGAGGCCCTCTCCCACCTGCAGTCCCCGCTGGACCCGAGTATCCTGCTGGCTGAAGTCTGGTGAGCGCCCGTGCAGGCCTCCCCTCCCCCACAGAGGCCTGGCGGGAGCCCCACTGACCGCCCTCTGCCCGGCAGTGTGGAGCAGTGCACCTTCATGGACTCCAAGATGAAGCCGCTGTGGGTCATGTACAGCAACGAGGAGGCGGGCAGTAGCGGCAGCGTGGGCATCATCTTTAAGAACGGGGACGGTGAGCAGGCCGGCTGGGTGTCCCCATAGCGCCCTGCCCTCGGGGTCCCCGGAGGGCGCGCCAGGGACAAGTGGGGGGATGCTGGGCCTGGGCAGGGCCGGGGCGCAGAACCCGCTAGACACTGATGCCCTTCCCTCCTGGGGCCGGCGGCGCAGACCTCCGCCAGGACATGCTGACTCTGCAGATGATCCAGCTCATGGACGTGCTGTGGAAGCAGGAGGGGCTGGACCTCAGGTGAGGAGCCTGCCTGCCATCCATCGGTGCCTGCACCAGGCCTGGGGTCCTGTCCCGTTGTCTGGGTTCTCCGCCAAAACTGACATCACCTCCTCAGGGGAAATGGCTGTTCTATGAAGAGCGGGGACCAGTTGAAAACCAGGGTCCCCGGGTGGGGTGAAGGCCAGCCTGGCCTTAGCGTCCGTGGCCCCATTGCTGCCCTCACCCCAAGCATCCCTGGCTTCCCGCCCCGCCTTCCTCCATGCCGCATTTTCCTCTCCCAGAAAACACGTGCTCCTGCTTTCTCTCTGCATCCTGGGCGCGGGCGCTGGCTGCCCCGAACAGCCTTCCTGGGCCCTGGGAATCAGGGGCTCCTCCTCCCCAGCTGCTGCTCGTTTTCCTCCTTTTCAGCCACTTGAGTAGCATCTCCTGTGGCTAGTTTGGGTTTCTTGAGCTCCTCGGGGCTCCAGCTGCCCCGGGGACAGCCCTTGACCGCAGCCCACCCCTCCCCGCACCTGGCCAGGATGACCCCCTACGGCTGCCTCTCCACTGGGGACCGCACAGGCCTCATCGAGGTGGTGCTGCGCTCGGACACCATTGCCAACATCCAGCTGAACAAGAGCAACATGGCAGCCACGGCCGCTTTCAACAAGGATGCCCTGCTCAACTGGCTCAAGTCCAAGAACCCTGGGTAGGTTTCAGACCTCGGGGACAGGCGCTGCCTCTGTTCTGAGAGCTGAGGTTTGCGAGTCAAAGGCGAAGGGACGGGCTGCGCCAGTCTCTGTGGCTTCCTGGCTCAGCCCGTGTCTGCGATGGGGTGGGCTGTGTCTCCGAGCCCCCTCGTTAGCAGCCACCTCTGAACTGCGGGACCTAAAACCGCACCCCTTTATTATTGGCTCAGACTCTGTCACCTGAGCTGGCGCAGCCGAAGGGTTCTGCTGGGATCCCGCACGTGGCCGCTGGCGTCTGGTAGCTTGGCCAGGCTGCAGGGGGCCTACCTGGAGCTCGGGGCTGGCTGGCTGGCTGGCTGGCAGGCAGGCAGCTGCCCCTCGCTCCGCTCCGTGTGGCCTTTCCTCACTGGCCGGGAAGGCTCCGAGCTGCACAGACGTTGAAGGCCATGGTGTCCCATCCCCCCTCGTCCCACCCAGGGAGGCCCTGGACAGAGCCATTGAGGAGTTCACCCTGTCCTGCGCTGGCTACTGCGTGGCCACGTACGTGCTGGGTATCGGTGATCGGCACAGCGACAACATCATGATCCGCGAGAATGGGCAGGTAGGGGCAGCGCCTGTCTTCTGGCCTCGCCCTCGGCCTTTCTGCTCTGCACTCAGCTCTAGAGAAAGACCTCCCTCTGCCCCCCTCACCCCGCCGGCTGCTGCTCAGTGTTTGCCCTTCCCTTCTGGTCCCTTAGCTGTTCCACATTGACTTTGGCCACTTTCTGGGCAACTTTAAGACCAAGTTTGGAATCAACCGTGAGCGAGTCCCATTCATCCTCACCTATGACTTTGTCCACGTGATCCAGCAGGGGAAGACGAACAATAGTGAGAAATTTGAAAGGTAAGAGTGCCTCAGAGCCCCGAAGTGCCCCTCGGACCCAGGGCTGCAGACAGGGTGCAGAGAGGGCACTGCCAGCCCACCTGGAGGGGGCAGCGTGGGGAGGTCGCTGGGTCCTGCAGGAGGAGGCAGGCTCAGGCGGTGGGAGCTCTTCCTACAGGGCTGTGTCCAGGGGGTGGGCGCAGGTCCACTGGGTCTGGGCGGACCCAGGGCCCACGTGCCCCTGCCTGCAGGTTCCGCGGCTACTGCGAGCGAGCCTACACCATCCTGAGACGCCATGGGCTGCTCTTCCTCCACCTCTTCGCCCTGATGCGAGCGGCAGGCCTGCCCGAGCTCAGCTGCTCCAAAGACATCCAGTACCTCAAGGTAAGCCAGGGCAGCGGGGCGCACCAGCAGAGACCAGGCAGCTCCAGCCGTCCTGAGGCCTGTCTCCTGGCGGTGTGACCCAGGGTACCCCTCCCCCGAGGGTGGTGGACCCCACAGGGCGTCGGGAGCCAGCAGCGGGGGCTGGGGGAAGCGGCCGGAGGTAGCCCGCTTTTGCTGCAAGCGGGCATCTGATTTTGCGGGGGGGTCTGGGGCCTGTCTCGGTTTGGATCAGACTAAAGAGCTCTTCCCAAGAGAGGTGTTGGGTGGCTCTCTCCTCTCTTCACTCAGTTCTTTCAGGAGGGAGCTTGAAAGGCCCAGACAGGGAGGAAGCCCAGGGAGGCGGGAGGGCTTGCCTTGGAGAGCAGGGGCCGGGCCCCTCAGTGCATCCATGGTTGGGCCTCAGGACTCGCTGGCGCTGGGAAAAACGGAGGAGGAGGCGCTGAAGCACTTCCGCGTGAAGTTTAACGAAGCCCTGCGCGAAAGCTGGAAAACCAAAGTGAATTGGCTGGCCCACAACGTGTCCAAAGACAACAGGCAATAGCCGCCCCCACCCAGCGGCCCCCGGACCCCTCCGAGCCCCCGGCCAGGATGTGAGCAAACCATCGGTCTTGGGAACAGGCACCGCGGGGCCTGAGAGCCTGAGCTGCACCCAACGGGGAGGAACTCTCACAACCGCCTTTTGTTTACACTGGTTATTTATTAATGACTTGAAATGTTTCAGGAACTAAATAGCCATAGAAATGCATCCTCTGTGCAGGGGAGGGGCGCCGTCCTCAGCGTCCCGGATCAGAGCCCTGGGCTTGGGTGAGAAGACACTGTGAGCTGGGCACCTGGAGACAGCGCCTGGTAGAGGGTTGAAACCCTGGGTCTTCCAGCGGGTGGATGTGGACCCAGCAAAGACTCTCTTCCCCGTGGGGAGCCGCCGTCTTCCCGGGGCTCCCGGGGGTTAGTTACCTGGTGCCCGCCGTCCACGCCTCCGTTCACACCACCCCCCGCCCTGCCCACCCTTCGTGCTCCCTGTGGACTGAGTTCTCTGCCCTCTCGATTCAGGGATGCTTGCTTTCCACTTTCTAAGTGACTCTTGGGTACGGGAATTCTCTCATCTCTCTGCTGTCAAGTGATTTTGTGTGCGGGTAGGAAGAAATATCCAAACGTTGAACCTCTATGGCTGGGGAGAGCAGCCTCAGCCCCCATAACGTATTACCTATGCTGGTCCTCAAGATGTATTAAAAAAGTCTGAGCTTGATTGAGCTCATTCTGGTCCTGGGTCAGGGGAAAGCAGGTCAGAGTGCTTTGTGCCATTATCTGTGAGCTTCCTCTTAAAGCAGGTTTTAAGGAAGGACTCGCGCTCTTCCAGAACTCTCGCCTTCGAGAACCTGCTGTGAGCAATCGGGCCCCAGGGGTGTGAGTTCAGGGTGTCGTGGAAACGTCCTCTGATGGTGTGTAGCTGAACACGAAGCCATGGGCAGATCTGGGCAGCTCTACACATGCCGATTCCTGGGCCTCTCCCCGCCTCCTGAAGCTGGCTGTGGGGACGGGACCAGGAACCCGGGCCTGGAGAAGCCCATCGGGGCCCACCAGGCTACCCGGCTGATCTCAGAAAGGCCTCGCAAGGCTCAGCAGCCCCGGAGCACACCTGTTCCCTGTAAGGGCTGTGTTGCTGAGGCCCACCTGGCCCGGTCGGATAGAGAACGCCCGGGGGCGTGTCTGTGTTATTTATTTAAAGGAGTCCGTGCGCCCTGGCACGGGCAGCACACTTGGCATTCACAGCAATTTCTGATTTGGGTGTACGGCCTGTGTGCCTGGTGAGAAGAGTATTTTCTATTTTTTAAATCCTTTACTTTTTCTGTGTGGGGAAGGTGAGTTCAACGTCACGGATGTAGGCTGGAGGCCAGTGCTCTGTGAAACCTTGAAATGAGAGGTAAAAGCAGATGACAAGAAATAAAAGCCTTTGTATGTTATGTTCTTGGCTCAAAGAGAAACGGCATGCAAGATGACAAACCACTCGTGCTCCCGCTGGAGTTAGAACCAGAACTTTATTGTAGTGTAGACACTTTCTGGCCTGGCATCAACATACACGTCGGGAAAGTGGGACCACAGCGGCTACAGACAGCGAGGACGCGCGCCTCCGCGTTGGCGTCTACCCATTGTCTAAACGGAGCAGCTACAGTGACAGTGCGTGGAGGGAGGGCCACACAGACACAGGACAGCGGCAGTGTCCTCGAGACTAGCAGTTAGGGTTACACGACAGTATTCAAAATCATTTCCCCCCGTTTTAGAAATCTAAAATTTTACATGTAAATTAAAAACAAAGTGCTATAGGGGCTTTAGCTCCTGACGCCCTCTCCTTCACCGCCAAGCACAGCAGCAGCAGGGCCCCCACTCCTGGGAGCGGGTGCCCCCCACCTCCCGCCGCCCTGGGGCTCTGAGGAGAGAGCAGAGCGTGCGCTGCTGCAGGGGGTCGGAGTCTGACTCGGGGCCTCTGGCTGTGTGTTCGGCGAGCGTGTTCCCAGATCGGGCAGGCCCACGGTGGCTCCAGAGCGAGCGGCGCGGCGGCTTGTGCCATCCGTGTGTTCCCTAAGTCCTGGCGTATGACACGCACGTCGAAGCGTGAGCCCCAGGGCTGTACACGAGGAGTCCAGGTTCCTGCACACGGCACTGTGTGCACAGTGGGCCCAGGACCCCAGTGCCCACCCCCTCTGCCACACGAGAAACAGGTGGGACCCCAAAGACGGGCGCCAGGCATTGCCAGCCTCCAGACAGGGTCCCCTCCCACCAAGCAGCACGCCAAGTCCCTGCCCTTGACTGGCCGGGCCCCACCTGGGGTCGGAGCCCTGAGGCTGGGGCAGTCCTGGGTGCCCAGGCGGGGCAGGCCCCTTTCCCCGTGTCCGGGCAGAGCAGGAGCCCGGGGGAGGGTCTCCCGCACTCCGTGTCTCCCGCTCGCGCTCCGGCCCTGGGTCACACTGGCACAGAGGACGTGAGGAATCCCGATTTATTTACAAAATATTAAAAAGTCAGTTCATCATCTACATATTAACCCCCATTCTGCCATTTTATACATGCACTAGTTTGGAAAAACAAAATTTAAAAAAAAAAAGGATTACCAGGTGGGAATGAGAGATTTTTAACCCTTGGTCACCAAGTCCAGGCACTCGGTGTTTTCGGAGGAGCGAGGGCCACACGGAGCGAGGTGACTGGAGGGCGCGCGTGTCAGCTCCTCACGGGACAGAGATCCAGGCGGAGGGAGGGGCAGGGAGGGAGCCTGGGGTCCTGCACACCAAGCGTGGGCGACGGGGAGGGTCAGCAGACCTACTGGCCAGAAGGACTTTGTACATCGTGGACCCTTGGGGCCGGTACGAAGATGGCAGCAGAGTCCCGGGAAGCAGGACACGAGGGCGCAGCGGTGGCTCAGTAGCTGAGGGTGGAGTCGTCCCACTCCAGCTGCTGCGGCCTGTCCCCGGTCCGCGGGCCCCCGCGCTCCCCCTCCTCCTCCTCGCTGCTCTCCGACTCGGCACTGGTGACATCGTCCTCCTCCTCACCATCCTCGCTCTCTTCCTCCTCCTCCTCCTCCTCCTCTTCCTCGCTGTGTTGGTCCTCGTATGTCTGTCAAAGAGATGGCCACGTCAGTCTGTCTGCTGGCCCCCACCCCAGCTCATGATCCGGCCACCCAAAGTGTGTCCACGTCCGGGAGCCCCAGCAGAAGGGAGCCCCAGCGGAAGGGAGCCCCGTGTCTCGCTCCACAGTGAGACAGGCTGGGCCGCACTAAGGTCGCCTCATTCAAGATGAAACGAAAAACGGCTCTGGTAGCCACCCTTTAGAGTCTGTGCGCCTGGGGACGGGGTGTCTCTACACGTGCTGGGTGGCATGACCTCGAGCAAGGCCTCCCCAGGCCTCAGTTTACCCACCTGCAAACAGGACACCTACACCTCAGAGAATCACCGCACGGGCCACACGCGCGGTGGCCACGCCGCCCTCCTGAGGCGAGCCCGGCTCGGGCCAGGCCCACGGGTGCTCGGCCGGGGCCGCCGGCCTGCGCCTACCTCCATGGGGTTCACGGTGATGGTCAGGGCCGAGTCGTCCCAGTCCATCTCGCTCTCCTTGCCGGCGTCCTGGTCCCGCACGGCTCGCTGGTGAGCAGCCCGGATCCGGAACACTCCCAGGATGATCATGAACACCAAGAAGCTGACGCACACCACGATCACGACGGTGGCCGTGCTGGGGACAACTGCAACGAGACGGAGACGGCACGGGGCCGTGGCCGCAAGCCCTGACCCCGAGGGCCGTGCCCTCGGCCGCCTCCGCACGGACCCCAGAGGACAGGAGGGGAAGTCGCCAAGGCTCAGCGCGGGTTCCAAATCTGGGCCCAGCTACGGCCCTACAGCCGTGGCCACGTCTGTCCCTGTCGATGCTTTAGTTTCCTCGTGTGACCCGGACCAACAGCACCTCCTCTGGGCTGGGGCTGGGCTCTCGGCAGGAAGGGAAGAGGGCGGGCAGGCGGGGGGAGGGGCCCCACAGTCCTACCTGCAAACGGGTGGGGGTTGGCCAGGTTGTGGCCTGAGAGATCAACAAAGGAGCGATGCTCAGGGTGGACGAACTGCGGCTGGGCGGCCATGTGGTTGGCGTGTTCCACAGGGTTGGCTGTGTGGATCACGTTCACCTGCGGCAGAGGGAGAAAGGCAGCCTGCACCTGCCCGAGAGGCGGGCCCGTGGTCAGAGCTGGCGCGACCAGGGCGCCCACAGCGCTCCCTGCGCTGGTGCTGGTGGGCGGACGAGGGAGGGACAGGACAAAACCGAGGGCAAGCACTTAGAACTGCGGTGACAATGTGACACTGTCACACATCCAAGGACTATACTGCTGTTCAAATAATTCGTCTTTATTGGATTTGATAAAAGAATCTCTGCACAGCAGACTGGGAAGGGAACTGAGGGGGCAGCGCTGGGCCCTCCCCACCGGCCCTCTGAGGAGCTCTGGCTGAGACCGTGTCCCCTCGCCCTGGAATCCCAGGCGTGTGAAGGAGAGCACACGTCATGACCGTTCCTTCCTTTCAGGTGGCTACCCTCTGGCTCAGACCGAACTCTCACGGACTCTCGCGCCCGTGAGCTGAGCCTCCCGCCGCCAGGAGGCCCGGGAGGGTGTGAGCCGCTCGAGTGCCGGCAGCGCTTTGGGTTTGTTTGTCCAGACACCAGAAGCCCCGAGGGACCGAGGGGCGGCCCTGTAGGCCCCGGAGGCTCGGGGGAGGACGAGGCCCTCTGGCCGTCGCGGCCTGAGTCCCCAGCACCAGGCTCAGCAACGGCAGGCCTGCCGGCGCCGCCCCTGCCTCAGCAGCCGAGGGCCCCCCACCGTGCGCACCCACAGGGGGCCTGGCTCCTCGGATGGCGCTCTTTCTAACACGTCACACCTCAGGGCGTGGCCACACCTCAGGGCGCGGCGCGGCCCGGCCCCGCCCCCACCCTGAGGCACTCACTGCCTCGGGCCCCTGACCTCCTCCCTCAGAAGGTGCCCAGCTCCCGCACGGAGGCGGCCTAGGCGCGAGGGGAGCACCCCCGGCTGCCCCACTGACCTGTGTCCCCACCCGGCGTCGGTCTAACCAGCAGCAGCCCCCGGCTGGACAGGGCCACACCTGGGGACAATCCCATGCCACTGCCACCACGGATGCTCTAAACGTCAACGTCTGCCGACGCCAGGGCCGAGCTGGCGCCCTTCTCCGGGGAGCCCGGCACTCACCTCCACCTGAAACTCGTTGCTGACGTAGCGTCCATTCAGCTCGGAGCAGACGAGCTTGAACTTCCGGTCGAGCAAGGACCTGGAGTGCCAGTTGCGATAGCGCAGGAGGCGCAGCACCTCCTCGTAGCTGGCCATGGTGTCCACGCCTGCAGGGGCGGGGGGGCGAGGACAGGGCCGGCGGCTGAGGCGGCCACACGGTCTGGCTTTCCGTTTGCAGGAGCAAATGCCCAAGCGTGCAGGAGTGGTTTCCTGCTTGAGGGGACGTGCCGCATGCCTGACCTCTGCCCCCTCTTAAGGTTGGGACATAAGGCGGGGACCCCGGGAAACGGCCTCCTTTCCCACCTCCTCCAGGACCCTCTCTGGGTTCTGGGGTGCGAGGGAGGGCAGGTGCATGGCTCCGGCTCCTGCCGACTGGCCGGCTGGGCCCACCGGGCCCACCAAGGCCTCTCACCTGTGAAGGTCACGCCCAGGTCAGAGCGGCTCACTTCCATGCCCCGGGGCTGCAGGTGGGCCGCGTCCACCTCCAGGCTCTCCTGCTCGGGGTTCAGCTCCTCCCCCTCCACCGTCACCTCACAGGTGTCCAGGTCGTGCACGACCTCCTCTGACACGAGGGACTCTTGAACTGCAAAACAGGCCGAAGGGGAAATCACAGCCGCTGAGAGCCAGGGAGGGGTCACGCGCCACAGCTTACAGGCTCATCCTCAAACTCAGAGCCCTTTTAAGGACCCATGACAGGGGACAGGAGGGGCACTTTCAAGAAAGGGGCTGGCCCTCCCCGGGCTGACCAGCCAACGGAGGCGCGGCCCCTCCAACAGCACCTGTCCCTGCTGCCCCTCAGGGTTCAGTGCGATTTGGGTGTCAAGCCAGAAATGAAAGGACTCTCCGTGGGTTTCCAAAACCCATAATGAGCTCTGCCCTTGGATCAGATTCCAGAAGCATCCAGACATTGAAACCTCCCACCATGTCCAGGGGGAGGACCTGGGCCACGGGCCGCAGGAAAGGGCTCGCAGCCGCCCAGTTTCGAGCCGAGGCCAGGGCCACCGCCCCAGGCAGGGGGCGGTTACCTGTGGGGTCCTCGTCCCCTTCCCCGTCGGGCTCCACCTCCCTCGTGATGGTGCTGATGATCCGCAGCTCAGGGAAAAGGAAAACTCCTTCCGAGCTCTCGAACTCAGACGCCGCTCGTGCGAAGTGGTGGACGCCACTCAGGCTGATCTTGGGCTCCTCCGGCTGCAGAACCATCACGGAACCGTCGACCGGGGGGACTGCAATGCAGGCGGCCTCGTTAGGACACCTGCCGACAGGGGAGGGAATGGAAGGCCAGGGCTGTGAGAGGCACATGGGGCGGCACACACAAGGGATGCCACCAACACAGGACAGCGGCCACTCCTAGAATGTGCTGCCAAATGTTATTAGCAAACATCATTCTAACTTTCTGGCTCCCCTTTCCTTACAAAGGGGGCACTGGGTCGACTGAGGAACCTACATACACGCATTTCTTCTCAGGGGTCAGTGAGCCCAGACAGGCTTGCTGTTAAGAGCCACACGTACGTGACCACGCTGGTGAGCTTGAGCCTCCGGATCCCGGGGGTGGGGAACTGCCGCGAGTTCAGGTAGGCGACGAGCCGCAGGGCCTTCTCCACCTCCCCCACGTCCTCTCCCTCCAAGGTCAGCACCGACCGGCTGGGGTTGGCTTGGATCTGAAATTGCACCCAATGGGGAGAGGAGAGGAATAAGGTTCCTGCTGCAAGATGCTGAAATCACAAACGCTTTGGCAAAAACAATGTGAGCGGGGGATCGATTTCAATGGTGACCCAGGGAAGAAAATGCACGTAATTCCGGGAACCGAGACCCTGTTCCTACAACGGCGACCTCGAAGGTGCAAACGTATCTGTGATACAAGAAATACACATTTGGTCTCTGCCCTGGGTTTCCAGACCAGAATGCCTACGCCCCTGGGAACTTCCTGAGCGACAGGAGCATCTTTTATTACTCATAGTCTCTTCCAACCACCCCAGAGTTTAGTTAATGAGGGGACTCTTGAGGGGCATGGGGAGTGTTCCTAGATAGTTTCCGGATGGGGGCTGGTTGCCAGAGGAACCAACGCTGTGACGAGGCTGTTGGGACTTCCAGCCCCACGTCCTGAGCTCTGGGGACAAGGACAGGGGCCGGAGATCGAGTTGATCGCCAATGGCCAAGGACATCATCAATCACGCCTGCGTAAGGGGACCTCCCTAAAACCCGACCCGTGGGGCTCGGGCGCTTCAGCTGGCGCGCACAGGAGGAGCTGGGGGGCGACATGCCGGGACGGCGAGGACGCGTTGGGTGCCTGCCCGCGTTCCTGCCCCTGCGTCTCCTCCATTTGGTTTTTCCCAAGCTGCATCCTTTATAATAAACTGGCAATAGTAAGTAAAGTGTTTTCTGAGCAATTCCAGCCAACTGCTGCACCGAAAAGGGGGTGGGCGTGGAGACTGTCGGGACCCTGACTTCAAAGCCACGTCCAACAGAAGAGCAGGTAACCCAAGGGCCAGGTTCCTGCAAGAGCCACCTGAAGTGGCAGCAGCGCGGTGGCACGGGGCCCTTAACCCGCGGGGTCTGCGGCTGAACCCCGGCAGCGTCAGAGCTGCACTGCCGGACTCCCGGGGGGCTGGCGTCCGCTGAGTCGGGCAACTGGTTGGTGTGAGAGAGGACCCCACGTGTCCTGTGTCCGAGGTAGCGGGGTAAAAACGGCTCCGGGGGAATCGCAGATCGATCCCGGCCCGCAGCCCGCCGCCGCGAGCCCCGCGCTACCTTCACGCCTCTGCCGCCGCCCTCCGGGACTCGCAGTTCCAGCCCCTCCTTGCAGGTGTACAGGCAGTCGATCGCCTTCTTATCTGTGAGCTTCCCAGAGCGGATCGTCAGGCCAGCCAGGTCGCCGCGGAAAAACTGGGTCATGTGCAGGTCACCACCTGTGGAACACGGCGGGGCGGGGGGCGGGGGGGGCCGCAGGGTTAGGCGTGCAGCCCAGAACCTCCCGCTCCATGCCTCAGTCTCAATGCAGTGTTACCGGTGGTGGCAGCTCGATGGATGGACATGCGGGTTAGTTCAGACCGAATCCTGTTAGCCTGGCAATGTACATGGAAGCGCTATGGAGACATTAAATCGTTCGTGATCATGCATGTGGCCTGGAGAAAAAGAGGACTCGGGGGTCCTTCACCCGAAGCCTGGAAGCCCAGAGGTTCCACGAGTGTCCCCGCACATCCAGGCACTTGCTGGTAAGGGTGGCCTGGCCCACACCAGTCACCATGGGGCACGTGTCATATCCTACTAGCACCCGCCTCTTCAACCACTGTCTTGTCGACGAGCTGGCTCACGCTGCGGGCTGCTCTTCCTAAGCACTCGGGGATACGCACAGACCCGGGGAGCCCACGCAGCGTGACGAGCAGGAGCAGAGGGACGCTTACAACCGCCCCTGCACTCAGAAGCCTTGGACCAGGCCCTTCAGGGGACCGCCGTGCCCACTGCCCTCGTGCCCGTCCCCTCCACGGAGGGTGGCTGGGGAGTGAGGGTGTTAGAAGGAAAACAAAACCCCAGAAACTGGCTCTTGACAGACCGCAGAGCACATGACACTCAACCTTGTTCTCAGGCTGACGAGGGGAAGAGACCGATTTTCAGCATCAGGCCTCACTCCTCGTAAGGACACTAGATGCTACAAATCATTGCTAGGGATGGGATTTCTAAGAAATGTATGTTTAAAATTTAGCATCAGGCTGGAATATCTGAACCAAACCGCCTCCTGTCTCGTGGTTCAGCACCTGAGGACCAGGAGACGCTCCCGCCCTGGCCCAAGAGATTTCGGCAGCCAGCCTCGGGCAGTAGGATCAGGGTAAAATTGGATGAGAAAAATAAAAAGGCCATTAATGCGGAGCAGCGAGGAGTCATTTGCTCGCTTCACCTGGGCTCAGAACGGGCAGAAAAGGGAACTCCCATGAAGCAATGGTGGGGGGGTGTGTGTGAATAAGGCAAAGCAGCAGCTCAGATGGCGTTGGGAACCAAAATGCAATGTGGGCGTTTCATGCAAAACGCGGAATGAACCGATGTCTCGTATTAAATGAAACATAAGAGTGGACCGTAGGGAGAAAATCCAGCGACCTGCCGAGGCCACAGGCAGAGGCTCGGTGTCATTGTCACTTTCGACTCCTGAGTACTCTGCAGGGAAGCAAGACAGAGACAACAGAGAGGACCGCGAGGTTAGGCTTTTCAAACTGGACCTTGAACGTTGGTTTTGAAAAGCTACCAAATACAAAACGCGGAGAGAAAAATTCCCCTCGGGCCCCCCTTGGGGACATACTCCAGCTGAACGCAAGCTCGCCCTTGAGCGCCTTTCCGCAGGAGCGGCACTCCCCCCCACGCTTCTGGGCACCCTTCCAGCCCCCCGCCCCATGCCCTCCTGCCCGGAGCGAAGGCGGGACTCAGAGTGAAATGGGTCCGAGCCCCTGCACTGACCTGTGTCCTTGGCCCTGGCCCCCGGGTCCGATGTCCCAGGGAGGTGCTCACACCGACCGCAGAGACGGCCCGGGTACAAGGGCCACCTGGCCTGGACCCACAGCACTGTCCTTCCCAACAGGGGTGTGTACGTGGCCACACAATGGCGGACAGTAAGCTCGTAAAAGTACGTCTTTTTTGAAAGCTCAAAACAAGTTCACGTCGGACTAGATTTTAATCTCTAAGCGACAGAGAAAAGGCGTTTTCCACCCTTTTCTCCAACCAGAAAGGGAGAGTCGAGGTCAGGGAACTCACCCGGAGAGACAGGCCATCCTGTGGGGTGGGCCTGGGGTTCCGACCGGCCACAGCGCCCGGGGCTCGCGGCCCAGCGGCCGAGTGTCACGTTACTCGGGAGCGGCACACCGGTGACCAAACTCAGTTCCCCTGTCCGGGTCATGTGGGGGAGCCACCTGCTCCCACAGCCCCGGCACAGGCTCTGCACCATGGGCGGCGCGGGGGGACGCAGGGGGCGCTGGGGGCGGGGCAGGCGGGGGTCTGGGAGCCCCCACGGCCCCTGGGACACCCCCCGACGCAGCGCTCGCCCAGGCTCTCCGTGCTGAGCCTGTGAGGGGGAGGGTTTCAAGTCCCCTAAAGGGAGAATAAAGGCCTTCCTCCTTATCAATCAGATTTTTAAAAATCTGTGTTTGGTTTGGGAATTGAGGCAGATTTTTTTCTGGCCGAGGACATTGAAGACCGAGGTGAGAACGGCCATGCTGACGGCAGAAGCACTGTGGCGTGAACAGGGACCAAGGCAGGCAGGGCGCGCCGTGGGTCTACCTTAACCCAAGCCCCAGGGCTCCCAGGATGTAAAATAACACTGAGGTTGCCCTTACGTTTTTATTTTAAAAATAACTTCTTAGAAATCTTTGTTTAATTTGGGAAGCAAATTTGAACTGAAAATATAAGACTGCAACTAAAAAATTCCTGTATCCCGAATAATTTCTTCCTTGTTCCTTGGTCTCAACATTCTACTTGCTCATAGATGAACCGTCACCAAAATTAAATGAGGGGATTGGTGAAGAGATTCACTGTCAATCACTGCCTGACTCCTTTTCACTTGAAAGGCTCTGCAGGAGGCCCGGCTGGGCTGACTCGGTTGGACCTTGTCCCACAAACCTAAAGGTCACTGGTTCGATTCCTGATCAGGGCCTGTGCCTGGGTTGCAGGTTCAGCCCCCAGGCCAGGCACATGTGAGGCAACCGATCGATTTTCTCCCTCCCTTCCCCTCTCTCTAAAAATTAAAAATAAAATTTCAAAGGCTATGCAGGAAAATTATGAATTGAAATTCTCCTAAAAGAGGCAAAGCTGTCTTAGGAATCAGGCTCTTCCACAAATTCCCACCCTGACCTGTGGTGCGATGTTTCCAGTGGAGAGGAAGTAAAAAGATCTACTGAGCAGTGGTGGGGGCACCCCAACGTGACCCAACACAGGTCAAGTGCAAGGGTGAACGCGGGGCCCATGAACCTCAAGGGCGGACTGGGGGGGCCCCTGAACTTGGGTGGGAAAAATTAGGTGCTTATTTTCACTAAGTTCTGAACTTTAGTTTTCCTTTGATTGTAAATGGTCAGCCACAAACCACAATGGTATTAGCAGAAACTGCGACTTTGTCACCAAGAGAAACTGCTGATATTTTCCTATCATGTCACATTGTCGCAGACATCACCAGAATTGTCACAAAGTCCCTTGCTGCTCTGACGTGATGGCAGGTAGTGGACCGGCTTCTAAAGCTTGTTCTTTGTTGTTTTTTTTTTAAGATTTTATTCTTTATTTTTTTAGAGAGCGGGGAAGGCAGAGAAACATCAGCGTGAGAGAAACACCGCCTGGTTGCCCCTCGTACATGCCCCGAACAGGGACCAAACCCACAGCCCAGGCCTGTGTCCTGGCTGGGAACTGAACCGGTGACCTTTCGCTCTGCGGGACAATGACCAGCCCCCTGCGCCACTCCCATCCCGGCACCTGCTCTTCATTTGCTGCCAAAGCAGCACAGGTATTAATGTTTCACACATTTAGTCTGTTCATACTTTGCTAACTATATTTCAATTTAACCGGTTACCTTTGCAACCCTGTGTATTTTATCTTAGAGATTAATGAAAAATTATCCTGAGGAGGCTCCACAGCACAGAGAGGCTAAAACCCCTCATCCGGGGGTCAGAGCTCAGGTCCTGGGCGGCGCGCCGGCCCTGAGGGCCCGGCCGGGAAAACACGGCCGCTACTTCTCAGAGCCTCAGGGTCTAAAGCTACAACATAGGGATACAAACAGCTTCTACCCCATAGACTTACGGTAAAGACTAATGCGATAAATACACAGAGGAATCAGCACTTAGAAAGTACACACACTTTCTAAGTGTGTACTGGTGGGGCTGGTGTGGCTCAGTGGATGGAGCGCCGGCCTGTGAACCAAAGGGTGGCTGTTTGACTCCCAGTCAGGGCACGTGCCTGGGTTGCAGGCCAGGTCCCCAGCAGGGGGCACATTAAATGCAACCTCACACTGATGTGTCTCTCCCTCTCTTTCTCCCTCCCTTCCCCTCTCTAAAAATAAATAAATAAAATCCTAAACACACACACACACACACACACACACACAAATGGCACTGTTAGGCTGGTGGCTGTCATCACAGCTGTCCTTGGTCTTTCAGCAGAGAGCTCCATGGATGCCCTCCCAACACGGCGCTCACTGGAGGTGTCCCCACCAGGCGGTCAAGCACTAAACCCACTGGAAGAGTCCTCCAGGCCGAAGCACACTTGCATTTTTGTGCCGGACTGTTGCCTCCTCGTTTTTATAAGCCTTTCAACAAACTGATTAATTTATAAAATGTCCCTCCACTGTGCTCTCCCTCCGTGCAGCGCCCCCGCCCCAGGCTCCCAGAAAAGGTGCTGGTGCAAGTTCGTCCTCCAGCACGACTTTAGTGAGTGCCCATCGTCAGAGCTGCCCGGGAACATGGCTGGCTTGGGCAACGTCCCCAGAAAGGCTGTGCCCAGGAAAAGGAGCGGTGAGGTACAGGAAAGGAGGCCAAGATGCTGCGAAGACCGGCATCATTTAACTCCTGAGCCCTGGGGGGACAGGGGGCTGTGACCGGTACCTTGCCAGCAGGCCCCCACCACGAGCTGAGTCTCGATCTTGGACGGATGAAGTGGGTGATCTTCAGTCACAGAGAAGGGCTCATGGGAAACCCCGTCCACATAGAGAGTGACCGTCGGGATTTCCACGTTGAGGACGTAGTGATGCCACTCCTCGTCACAGACCTAGGGAGGTCAAGGGAAGGGTTAGAGCCTGGATGTCCACCTCCCTGCTCCTCTGGGGACCGACGATGACAGCAGCGCAGCCGGACATGGAGAACAAGTCACCCGTGAGGAACATGTGTCTTCCTAGAAAGGGAAAGGTTTTTGGAAAGTATCTAACAGTAAAGTACATCCCGCCCAACCCCAGCTCACAAAAAAGGGCCAAGGCAACCCTGTCGTCCTAGGAAGGACTGTCTCTCTTCTGCTAAGAGCGTGACACCAGGGAAGTCCTGCATCGGCAGGAAGGACACCCTCTTTTTCTGAATCGAACTGCAAACACCTCCAGTCTAGGAGGCGGCGCCCTGCGCTACCTGCGTTTTCCTTCCCAATTCCGAGCCGGCGAGCTATGTAAACAGGAACAGGAGCACAGGCGGCACCGAACTGAGCTGAGTCCCTTCTCTCTCGTGAATGAGCCTCTCCTCCCCGGCTGTCGGCGAGGACAGTCATCTGTGGGCTCCAAGGCCCTTCCAGGTCTGACACCCTGACTCCTGGCTTTAGTGGGAGAGGCAGACGCTCCAGAACACAGACAGGCGGAGGAAGAGGTGCTGGGAGATAAAGTTGTTAAAAATGTATTTCGAACAGGCTTGCCCAATTTACATTTAAATTCCAAGAAACGAACGTGAAATGGAGAGCTTAAACAGACCGGCAGCCTCAAAACAAATGAAGTTACCAAAGCCTAAAAAGTCTGCTCCTGATAAATTAGAGGAAAAAATGTAAACCTTTAACGTTGTATATGTTTATTATCTGTACGTGATCTATATGTATATTTGTATGTGTATATATTACATGAAATATTTCTAAATAAAGGAACTGCACATAATTCACTTGTGAGACTGGTAAGATTTTAATTTTAGTTTCAGTCTCTATTTAACAGACGCTCTGAAGGGGAGAAGCTCCTTCAGAAAGCAGCTTCTATCACACCCCCGGTTTTCAAACTGCTGCGGATTTCCAGGGCATCGGTCAGTAACATCACCCTTAGACCCACACCAGCCCCGGCCGCGCTCAGTGACCAGGCGACCACGCGGACACCCGCGTGAGTAGGGGAAGGAGGCAGTGGGCCCCTGAGGCTGGGGCCACACAGGGTGCAGCCGCAGACTTTTAACACCATGACAGCAACAGAGGGGAGGCAGGCCCCTAAGGCCGGAAAACAGATCATGCTGACTGACTGTGCCTTTTGAAAGTACAGGGAAACTAATTTCATATCAAAACGAAGCGGGGAGGGACCACAAACTCAATCCCATATGACACTTTTCAAAGGAAAAAAGAGAAGGACTAATACTCTTCGGATAATGAAAGCATACCTGAAAGACATGCCTACCAAAGAGACGAAAGGATAAGGCATTCAGAGCCGCTACAAGACGCTAGGAAGCCCTGGAAGGTGTGGCTCAGGGGGACAGGGCGCGGGCCTGGGTTGCCAGCCAGGCCCCCGTTTGGGTGCAAGCAAGAGGCAAACAATCGATGTTTCTCTCCCTCTTTTTTCCCCTCCCTTCCCTTCTCTCTAAAAATAAATAAATAAAGTCTTTTTAAAAAATTAGTAAAAGATGTTAGGAAAACGACACAAAATATAAATGAACATAGTTCATAATTAGAGCAACTAAGAAATGAGGTGACAAAACATAAGAACGAATTAAGGAGAAAGGGACAGATACAGAAAAACAGGTAAAGAATATCAACAAAAGGTGAGAACAAAACCAAAGCAATGAAAGAGAACACTAGAGTTTCAACAACATTAACAACAACTTTCTTGAAAGAACGAAATGTTTCCAAGTATGTACAAAAAGAACACACCACATATCTGGGAAAATAGACCCAAAACACATACATAAAATTAACTAACTTAGAAAAGCAAGGCAACCTTTGGTCATCCAAACAGAAGACTAAGCATTTTGGAAGGGAAAGAAAATCAGATTGTCAGATTTTAATAGTCACATTTTATGTCGGAAGACAATGGAGAGAGAGATTTTCTGCCCTTTGAAATTTTAAACATGAGCCAGAGATTTTTATATCCAGCTAAACTGACCTTTAGTATAAAAGCCACAGACAAGCTATTAAGACAACATGGGAGAACTTAGGAATTATATTGTCCCTCTGACCACTTCCTGGTAGCACACGTTCTGCACCCCTCAGGACAGGGAAACGAAGTGCCACAGAACTGAGCATCACGGCTGCTTAAACCACAGGAAGGGAGACAACCGGACACAGAGCATACAGACCAGGGACACGTCGCCCTGAGTCTGATCAGCCGTCAGAGCCTGCTGTCGCTTGACAGGATACACAGGCAGAGCGGGGTGACAGATGGCACACAGGGACGCAACTGGCCAAATCCAAACCACTGGAAACTATGGGACAGAAGACCCGATTCTGTCGCTCAATAAATTCCAAGGGGGAAAAGAAAAATCCATAGATTAAAATAAACCCACGGGGCACACTGACCCATCGCAATGCATGACCCCTCCTGTGGATACTGCTTCAAACAAACAAACTGGAAACACAAAACCGCACACGAGACAGCCTGAAATTTGAACACTGGCTGGATTATCTGACGATCAAGGAGCTGTTCATTTTTTTAACTGATGTTTTATTCTTCAATGACAGCTGGCACACAATATTATATTAGTTTCAGGTGTACAACACAGTGATTAGAATTTACTTTCGAAGTGGTCACCCCAGTAAGCCTAGTGCCCGTCTTGCACCACAGAATGATTGCAACGCGACCGACCCTTGTTCCCTAGGGTGCACCTTACATCCCCGTGACTGTTTTCAGGACCAGCCACTTGCACAACCTGATTCCTTCCCCTTTCCTGTCCAGCCCTCATCGCCCCCCAATCTGGCCACCACCAAAATGATCTCTATCTGTGAGTTTATTTTGTTTATTTTATATTTTTAGGTTACACGTAAGTGAAATCAAGTTTTTGTCTTTATCTGAAAGAATTGTTAATGCTTTCAAGGTGTGAAAAAGTGCTGTGATTATACTTACCTTTTAAAGATACGTACTTCATTATATAGGATAAAATGCTGTACCTGGGATTTGCTCAACATTGACCAAGTAGTTTTCAAGGGGGTGATGAAAATTATCAATAGTGGGAGGGGGAACAATGAAACAAGACTGACCAAGAGTTGTCAACTGCTGAGGGAGGTGACAGGTGCGTGGGGCGCTCTTTAGATTAATCTGTCTACTTCTGCCTGTCTGACGTTTCCCGTACTAAAGTTTTTTAAAAATGTAATCGGAAGACACTAAATATGTAAATACAGACTCTGGTTACTATAACAGAACTGTACCTAAAATGTTTACTTATGTTGCAAAACAATTTTTTTCTGGACTACACCTTTCTTTAGTTTCTTGAAAAATGTTAAGATAAAAGTTTCTAAGAAAGAAATGATATGTGTAAACAAAAATCACCTCCATAAGAGATGAACGTGACCAAGCGGACGGTCCCTCCGTCCCTCCACTACCACATACTTTTCTCCTTTCTCATTTATGCTCTTATCTTCCTATTTTGTAACTGCTTTAGACAACATCTTAGCAACTACAGGCACATATATTAGCTCTTTTGCACTTACTGCATGAGACAAAAAATTAAGCCAAGGCCAAAGGTCTCCTTCTTGTCCCCACCCCCAATCAGGACAAGAAACAACCTGCTGTGATCTTACTGAAACGGCTTTCCTCCGTTTTCAGCATCCTCTCATTTCCTGCAACAAAGCCATTTGGTTCATGTGATACTTGCTTTTCCTCACAGCAACTGCTGGGAAAGCAGCTCTGCAAAGATGTGACTTTGTCGAAAGGAACATCACCGCACAATATTGAAGCAGCAACCCCCGCAAGCTGGCAGTGCCGCTCAGCGCCGCCCCTGAACTTGCTGAGGCCCCGGGCTCTCCAGCGCCATGTGGGAGAGAAAGCCTTAAATGACGAGTAAACAAATGCAAGGACCTCAATCCCAATTTTTAAGCAAGGGCTGCTTTTTCTGTAAGTTATAAAACAGTATTTTGAATTTAAAACATACGATTTCTTTATATTAATATTTTATATATAAAAGACATATACAGACAAACGAAACACCTTAGGCTTTCCGTGGAAAGGTGTTCAGTGGATTTAGTTTGCTATCCTATGACCCACAGACACAGGAATCATATAACCACAAGTATACACCGCCGGGGGGCGCTTGGTGGAGAAAAGGCAGGGGCAGGGGTGGGGGGTGGGGTGGAGGGACATCTGCAACAGCAGCAGCAAAAAAGAAAGGTAAAGAAACAGAAGCACGCACGGCCCAGAGGCAGCCAGACCCCTGCAAGGGCGCCCGCCTGCCCCCGCCTCCCTCACCTGGGTCAGCTTCCAGTGGAACTCTGCGGGCCTGTACTTCTTCTCTCCTGAGGGATCCTGACGGAGGAGGAAAATAAACCGGCAGCCGTGGACAAACAGGGAATAATGGTGCCGGTTCATATCTGCAAAGACAAATGCAACCGGCCAATTGCCAACTTAAGATCCAAAGGAGAAATAAAAGCTGTTTCTTGCATGGAGTTTGAAGACACCATTTTATCAGCATAAACAAACTCCCCAGCTGGGCCCAGGCAGGGTTTAGGAACCGACACGCCTGGGTTTTTACTATCAAATGCCCAAACGTCCGGGCGAGTTGCTGAGGACGAGGCGCGCTGGCGCAAAACACGGACCGCCTCCCGCCACCAACCAGCCCCTGGAGGCCTCTGGGGAAGGAGGTACCCACCTCCCGCAGGCACGGCGGGGGCCACGGGAGCACCCACCCTTCCCGGCAACGCCAACCTGTCCTGTCTGAGCTGCAGAGGATCGTCTCCTTCCTCCTGCCGAAGGGCCCGTGTCGCATCCACACAGAGATCGTAAAAGGCTCTTTGGGGTTGACGGAAACGACGCCGTCTGGGATCCTGACGGCCTGGGTGCCGTTGAACTCGAACACCTGGTCGCTGTCGTGACCGTTGTCGGTGGGGAGGCCGACGGTCCAGTTCAGGGCGCTGCTCGGGGAAGGAAGCAGCTCGGCAGTGCCAGCCGCAGCACCTGAAACAGCACGGGGGCCCTCGGTAGGCAGCGTGCCGAGGGCTTGAAGGGCAGAGCCGTGCAGAAACACGCCGGCGCGCTGTCCTTGTCTGGGGGTCTATACGGCTTGCTAGATCCACTTTACTTTTCCCAAAAAGGGATGTTTATGACAAGAAAAATTCAAAAATAATAAGCATGGATTTTTTTTTAAAGCTAGAAGAAAAAAGAAGCATTACCTGTAATCCAAGCACTTCCAGGCCTTTATGAATGGGTACACATTATAAACATGGAGTCCTGTGCACATGCGCACACACATTCCCATTCCTGCTCTTCTACAGCACAACTGGAAATGTCTGGCGAGCGTCTCACCAGACAGACGTGCCCTGACTTACTCAACTCACCTCCCTGGTGGACTGAGGCTGCTCCATTTTCTCCGAGGAGGATAAACCTTGACCTGAGGGGAACCTTTGTGTGTCTGTCTCCCTGACTAGTCCCATAGAATAAATTCCCAGAAGTGGAATTACTAAGCAAAAAAAGCATGAAAAAACTTGCAACTATTTTACACATAGCCAAGCTCAATTTTTAAAAAAATTTCTCTGCAGCTCTGGCCAGAGTGGCTCAGTTGGTAGGGCGCTGTCTTGCAAACCAAAAGGTCACGAGTTGCTTCCCAGTCAAGGAACATGCCTGGGTTATGGACTGTTCCCCAGTTGGGGGCATGTGAGAGGCAACTGATCGACCCTTCCCTCCCCGCTTCCCCTTTCTCTAGAGTCAATAAGAATGTTCTCAGGTGAGGATAAAGAAATTTTTGGTCTGCATAAGATTTTATGGACTCTCTCAGCCGCTGGTCCTTGGCTTCCTGAATCCCAGGAGCAGCAGGATTTGGCTGGAACAACCTGGTCTCTCGAGGAACATCCAACCTCGGTCCAAATCCCAGCTCTGCCACTTCCTGACAGTACGCCCTTGGGCAAGCGGCTTAGCCTCCCTCAGTCTCAGTCAGTCCTCCAGAAAAACGCGACCAGCACCCCTTCTCTGCAGGCCTGACGGGAAGATTAGGTGAAACATCTCGAGCGCCCAGCACACGGTAAGCACCAAAGTATGGGATTCTTCCCATTCTTCCTACCCTTCGACTGCTCTGCTGGGAAAATGTTCGCTTAAATACCATAAAAATGGCATTTCGAGAAAGTGAGTTTTCTACGTTATACTTAGATACATAGTTTAAAATAGAAAACGTTCCAGACCTCTCAATTTACATACATCAGGTGCAGGATTGTGAAAATTTGGACTCAGAGTCATGAAACACCTGAGTATATTCATCGCTGGGATGCAGCGGCAGAGCACAGACTTTCCCCTTTTGCTTTTTCACCAAAGAACAATTTCCAGGGACAGGCGAACACTGGCGGCCGCGCCCTCACTGCGGCGGGCAGGCCAGCGAGGAGACAGGCAGGCGTCGGGCGAAGCTCCCTGCGAGCGAGCAGACACTGCGGACTCCCAAGATGCAAAAGGCTCTTCTGGTTATGAAGAGGCCACTGAAGTCACTGCTATCTTATCAGCAGCCAAGGAACAGCGTTTTCCAAGAGTGGCACCCAAACCTCACCCTTAGCCAAACCAGAAAACGTTCCCAGCTGACGGTGGAGACGCGGCAGGGGTGGGGGGCGCGGTGGCAGCTCTCTGCCAGGTTTACAGCCAGGCTGCCTCTCGGTTCCTCTCCCCCCCTCCCCCCAAAAAGCCTGTGGTCCTCGGCCCATGGAACCCTGCATAAGATGCGGGTGTCTTTAGTTTTGATTTTCGTCTTCCCATTTGCCAAAAGCTACCTCATTATCTGTATTTTTCCCTTTAGTCCTTAAAGAAACATCTTGTTTCATTTAAAACTCCCTCCACGTACATAATTTCTATTGTGATGATTCTCAATGTGTCTCTGAGAAATTCTATCTTCAAAGGAGCGATTCTTGAAAACGCGCACACACACAATGTTTTGAACAGACTTTCACAGGGGGTCACGTACCCCCGGAAGCCCGCCCCGTGTGAAACCTGGCGGGCGAGGCGGCGGCAGCCACGTCAGGGCGTTGGAGTCGTCCCGCCTATCGACCACCCGCCGGCACACGCACACCCGTCTCCGCCTGCAGGGTCCCTGTCGCCCTCTCTGAGGACCGCAGGCCTCCTTACCACAGAGCCGGTGGAGGGACTTCTCCGAGTAGGTGTCGCGGTCACAGCCCTTCCCTATGTGGCTGGTCTCCAGCTCCACCGTCGCCTGCACCGAGGCCACCGACGCGTCGCAGGTCTCCAGGCGCAGGCTGGGGAAGAGGGCCAGCGCGCCCGTGCCTGGCTCGTACTCGACCCTGTCGCTCCACCCTGAAGCGGCCGCACGTGGGCAGGAGGGGAGGGGAGACGCACGGTCAGGCTGCCGCGCCACACGGGTTTTGAGAAAGGGGCGAGGGCAGACAGGAGGCGGCGCTCACCTTGCCAGCCGGGGGTGCAGGTGGGCTTAACGCTGATCTTTACCAACACGTCCTCCGCTGCCCTCTTCTTCCCGCAGTCGTAGGCCGTGACGGTCAGCTTGTACTGGTGCTCCTTGCCGTACTTCAGCTTCTCCGTGTTCTTTATGTAACCTTCCGGGGGAGAAACCCGAGTGAGACGGCGGCCCGGGCGGCCTGCACTGACGCCGTCCTCTGCCGGAGCACCCGGTGTGTGCCGGCAGGCGGCAAGCCTGCGTCCGCGACGCCCTCGCAGCCCGGCTCGCCCGAGCCGTGCAATGCAGGCCCCATCGCCACAGGCCCCGCCGCTCAGCTCCGCTGCTTCCTACGGACCATTTTTGTTTTTATATTTTACTTAAAGATGTACAGATGAAAGAATAAGACAAAATAATTCAAGTCCTTCAAGTGTTAAATACAAGATCAAGCTTCATTAAATACTTCTTGCTAAAAGATTTACTCTATGAGAGAGACAGACAGAGAGAGAGAGAGGGAGAGATTTCCTCCCCCACCCACGAGAAGAGAAGCCTACTTTTGACCCTGAGTACAGGTGTCTGGGACCCGTTTGTTGTGGACAGGATTTTAGCAAAGATCCTGGCCTGTGCATTAATGATGGAGACATTGTATCACCCTGAAGCCTTAACCTCCTGAAGTTAAACTCTAGAATGAATTGATTCTGTTCAATTACTGAGAAAGGAAGGCATCTGGCAATGAGGTATAAACCTTCACCTTAGAGAACAGGCAGAGGATTCAAATCTGATGGAGAACAGAAAACAGGACCAACAAAAGCTCCGGCTCATGTGGATGCACAGAGATGGAAAGGTGAGACGGTAAAAACATGGTAAACAGGGGATTTTTATTAGTTTGGTGGGAAAGGAAAAAGCAACGTCCCAGCAGAGAACACAGGGCTTTCAGGGGGCAGTGAAAAGCTGGCCACATTTGGTTTCTGCTGTGGACAAAGCATTCGTGTGTGCCGAGGGTCAGCGCTGAAGTCCTAACCCTCAGGGCGACGGTACTAGGGGCGGGCCCCTGGGAGGCGTTTAGGATTAGGTGAAACAAGGTGTGGGGGGACCCCCACATCGGAATCAGCATCCTCATGAGAAGAGGAACAGACCAAAGAGCCCTGTCTCTCCCACCACGTGAGGACAGAGAGAGCCAGGGAGCAGGCCCTCAGGGGACCCTGAATGGGCCGGCACCTTGATCTTGGACTTCCCAGCTTCTAGAACTGTGAGAGAGAAACACCTGCTGTTTAAACTGTCCGGCCCGTGGCGTTTTGTTCTAGCCGCCCGAGTGGACTAGGTCTCCAGCCTGTGAGTTTCACTGGAGTACAAAGTTTGGGTTTGAAACTGGTAGGCTCAGGAGGAACAGCCCGCCCGGGGGTCCCCGTGGTGCGGGAGCCCCGCCCCGCCCTCCTCACCGTCTTTGTCAACAGTGAACGGCACGTCCGGAGTGACGATTTCATAGCTGCAAATCTGGCTGAACTGAGGGGAGCAGTCCGCATCCACGGCCTCCACCCTCAGGAGGCTCTCGTACCGCTTCCCCTCGACGGCCGTCGCCTGGTAGGACTTCTCCTTGAACACGGGCGCGTACTCGTTCACGTCGCTCACCTGGATGTGGACGGTCGCTCTGGAAGGGGACAAAAGCCCGTGCGCTTTGCTTGCTTTTCATCCCCCGCACCAAAAAATGGTCTGCCCTATTTTTCTGCTACCTTTTATTACATTTTATGAAGATAAAAATTAAACTACTCATTTATTTTTTATTTTTTTTATTTTTATTTTTTTTTTACTAGGTGTTTCCTGCATGGTTTGTCTCCTCAGTCATTGTCCAAAGGACTCTGAGAAGCTGTAGGAATATGCAGGCGCAGACTCAAGGCCCGGCTTTCTCTCCAACGTTGTGGAAAGGGACTGTACATCACTGGGCGGAGCCCTATGCTCCCCTACGCCACCTGGACAGAGCCCGGGGAGAGTGACCTCCCGGGGTATCCACGTTGGTTAAACTACTCATTTTTAATTTAACGTGGAGACAACAGAAATTTAAAGCAGGAATTTGTATCGATTCTCCCAGGTCCTAGGAATAAGGCAGCAGGTAAGACCACAGTCACATCAAATAAGAAAAAATGGGATTTTCTTTGCCAACATGGGCCCTGCCATGCAGCAGGGAGAGAAGCGGAATCAAACCTCTGATAGCTCCCTAATCACAAAGTTACAAAGAGCTGGGTTCAGAAACCACTAGAGCCAGAGGAAGACGGGGAAAGAAAGAGAGAGGGGAGACAGGAAACTAGTCCTGTCCGGCCTCCAAGGGACAGAGGCCGTCAGCGACCCGTGGCTGGGCCACCGGCTAGTGCTGATCCCCCAAACACGGGCCCTCAGCGTTGCCCGGCCTGGTGAACCCCGTGCGGCCAGGCTCCACCTGCCAGCTCGGGGGCGGGAAAAGGAAGGCGCCGCCGGACCAGCTCCCCAGACGGGAGCCTGCGGGTCTCAGGTGCTGCTGGTCAGGGTGTGCCCCGGATCAGACACAGTCTCTGACTGAAAGCAGCTCTTTGCGAGGACGGCGGCGTGTAAAAAGTGCGCAGGGCGGTCCACCGGCACGCGGCACCCCAACGTTCACCAAGACCCTCCACCCCCACAGCCAGCCACCCTGGCCCTCGCGATGGCAATGTGACACCGCATCACCCTCGTGCCCCTTTCCTTAGCAAATGCAGAAGCTGGGACTCCACAAAATTGAACCTGCCTGATGCCGAGGGGCAGGTAAGTGGCAGGGGAAAGCCCAGAATCCTAGGCCCCCGTCTTGCCCAGAGCCCCCCCGTTACGCCGGCCACCCTCAACGGGCAGGAGGGGCGGTAGCACCCGGGCGGGGCCCACACCCCTCGGCTTTCTTCGACCAGCTCAAGTGAAGTTCGTGCCTTCGGAATTCACAGGCAAAAGATAAATGCAGCTACAAAACATCCTCCTAGGGGAAGGGTAGGCTTTTCGTATTTTCACTGTGGGGCCTGGGCGCCTCGACTAGAGTATTTGGTGGGATAAAATCACTCGCATCCAGTTACCCAGCAGCGACTACGTGCCTGGGCCCAGCGGGGAGCCGTGCACGAGGGTCTCGGGTCCCACGGCACACACCCTCCCCCGGCGGCTTGCTTCTGTACGGGGTCCGCTTACTTATGGGACTTCTTCGCGCTGGCGCTGCCGTCCGGCCCCCGGCCGCAGTCGTAGGCCTGGATGGTGAACGTGTAGTCTTTCTGTAGCTCACAGTCTAGTTTCTCTTTGGAGCGGATCAGTCCCTCGCCCGTGGACTTATCCACCACCACTGCGTCGAAGGGGACGTTCTGCCCGTGAATTTTAAATCCACAAATCTCACCTGGGGAGTCAAAGCAGCGCAGGTTAGCATTCCTGCCACGTGTACCGCCTGCGCGGTCAGTCCCCTCCACCCCCGTCGCCCCCAAAGAAAATCAAGGACAATTCGGCAGCCAGGGGTTGAGAGGGTCTGTGGACAAAGCGGGGGCGCCGGGCTTTGTGACAGGGTCAGTTCTGGGGCTTTAGTAAAAAGAAGCATGTTTTGGCTTTCCAAGCAACTTGTTTAACTTTGCATCCATTCATGCAGGAATACAAAAGAGAGGAAGAGGAAGTGTAGACAGGCATTTCACAGGAGAACTTAGGACCACTCCAGGGTCACGTGAGCTCGTGAGCAACCAGCCCAGGCCTGGTAACCCGAGAGGCTGCCCCGGCCACTCGGGAGAGCTGGGCAGCTGTTTTGGTTTGGACCAGAGAGAAGGCTATAAAATGCACAGTTAGGTGTCGAGAGAGGAAGAAGCGTGAGATATAGGTTCAGCACCGTAATTACAGAAAGTCTGTCAAAAAAAAAAAAAAATTCAGAAGAAACAAGTCTTCCTGTGCAATGAGCCTGGCTAAAATTAGGGAATCAAAGCAAACTACTGAACGAGAAAGGTAGAAATACCAACTTGTCAGGCATCCATTTCAACAGCTAGCGTCTACCGGTGAGATGCAGCGTCCACTACAGGGAGAGGCTGGCTAGACTGTCCCTCGTCTTGGACGTCATCCTGCCAGACCTGGAGAGGAAGCCTGCCTGGGGGCTCAAGGGCCTCTACCAGCTCAGGGAGGAGTAACAGTCTCGGTTTCCGTTCTTGGCCATGGGAGAACAAATGTAACTGTTTTGATGTACACAGAAAGCTTCACAAAATGTATTTCACATAAAAATGAGACAGAACTCTTCCAAATTTATTTACAACTCATAGAAAATGGTTACTAAGTGAATCTCTTAAGTTCAATTAAGTAAAAAATGTACAATGTTATCCATAGTGTTCAAATGGATGTCTGATTTCCAGATATTTCTAGCCAAGGGTTTGGTTACATACAATTTCCATCAATATATTTAAAAATAGAAACAAAGTAGGAGAATAAATGGGGGTAAAAGAGCATGACAGCTTCTTCTGTTTAAGGGCTGATTCCCAATTTTATGAACAAAGTTAGTGGGTTAATATTCATAAGAGGGGTAGAAAGAACCCTTTATCACCTTCTTTGGTGACTGTCACCTCAAAACTCTCTAAAGGGAGAAAAGATAAACCCATGTCAGTAACACAGGAAAGAATGAAGACAGAACAATAAGGAAAAAAGTCAAAGATGCACATGTCACACAGAAAAGCTGGACACAATTTGACAATAAGCTCAGTAGCCACTTGCTTGAGTTGCTATAGCAACACTGGACCTCCAGTAACAAAGTCTCTCTTCGAATCCTACTTACCACCAACTACTGCTTAGGTTTTGAAATTACACCCACCTACCCTTAAAACACTGCTATGTCTCATGCCTCCCTCAGAAGCGTTAGGGCTTCCAACGAATACTTTAATGATGATAACTTAGATGTACACCTATTTGTTCTTCATAGTTTTCAGATTTTCATTTTTAATATAAGTTCCTGTGGTTAGAGTCTAGTAACATTCAATTCACCGTTAGGTTAATGAAACAAACAGTTGGAGCAATGGGTTTTATTTTAATCCTTTGTTCTCGAGCTGATTAAATAGCAGTGTTTCTCATCTAATCTTGGCTCTAACCCAACCAAGGCAACAAACAGAAACACCTTTTTGCACAGAACATCTGCTTAAGTGGGAACTGAAACCAGACTCCACTCTAACGGCGGTGTTGCTACAATGGCCACTGTCGATACTGCGAGAAAACGCTAGCCCGCCGAGCCCGGCTCGCCTGGCCCGGGGTCCCCTCGGTGGGGGGTGAGGCTGTGCGGAGGCGCGGAGGCCAGGAGCCCCGCCGCCCCCACACCGGGCGCCTTCTCTCCCCTAAAGGCATTGTGGCCTGAACCCCCTTGTTTGTTTGTTTGTTTAATGATTTTACCATAGAGGTGTATGTCCCGGATAGTGTTGATTCATTTTGCTTGTTTCTGAGGTTTGAACAATGGAATCACACCGTATAGAACTTTGGGGTCTTGCCTTCTCACTGCAGTTGGCGTCTGAGGCCAGTCGTGGTCCCGGACGGCGTGCGCAGCGACCGCGCAGCAGCCGCTCCCCGGCAACGCGACAGAGAGCCCACAAGCCAACCCGGTGATGCGCGTCAGACGCAGCCAGGCATGAGGCAGGCACTCAGCAACGGCCGCTAAGGCCGCAGTCCCCTTCCCTTGGGTGCCGACGATGCCGCCCACGGTGCCGGTTTCTGCTGTCTGTGAACACGCTATGATGGCTCTTCCCGTCTGTGGCGCCTGCTGCGCCCACGCGGTGTCTTTCTCGACCACCCCGGCCGGTGCCGTAGCCACTGGCTACACAGGGCTGCGTCTAATTAAATTAACATTCACATTAAAATTAAATATTAAAAATTCAGTTCCTCCGTCGCACTGGCCGCCTTTCAACAGCCGCACGTGCCTAAGAACTCCCTCGTGGGAGTGCAAACGCCAGACCTCCTCATCACCACGGCGAGCGCCAAGGACGGACGGACGGACGGACGGAGTGGCCCCAGTCTGGCAGGCCGCCTTGGGCCGGCGGGCCGACTCCACCGGTGTCACATATTTGAACAACCCGCGTGCTAACAATTATTTTTATCTTATTAAACATCATTTGGTGGCACGAGGAAATTATGTGAAATTCAAATTTCAGGACTATGAGCAAAGTTTTATTGGAACACGGACACTTACTAGTTCTGCACTGTCGACGGCTGCTTTCCCACGACAACAGCAAAGTCATGGGAGTCACTCACTGCCAAAGAGACCACAGGGGCCGCAGCGCCTCGGATCCTTGCTGCCCAGCCCTTCACAGAGACGCCGGCCGAGCCCGGCTCCCGGCTCACACCTACGAGCCGAAGGGCGGGCGTGGACGCGTGTGACGGGCCCCCAGCTTGAGCTGATTCACTCTATCAGGCTTCGCGCTTGAGCTGTGTACCGGTATTGCATGATGCATTTTAAAATAGGTCAAGTTGCCCATCTTTAATTCAGAGGAAACGTCTGTTTCAACTTGCTGAGAGGACGACAGTGAGGTGGCCCTGTGACCTGAGCTGACCAACTGGCGTGGTGGCACGTGCTGTCCTGACACAGGCCACTGTGCAGGGAGGTGCAGGTTTAGGCCCTGGATCAAGCGGGTGACGCCGCGCGTTGCTGAGTGAGGGGTTAACAACACTCATCTCTCAGGTGGTGAACCTGACTCAGTTTCTGTGAGGAGTGAGCGGAACTGTCTGCCAACAGATTCAGCTCCCCACATCGCTCCCTTGAGGCTTCGCGCTGGGAGGACGGGAGGCAGGACATGGAGTGCGGAAGGCCGTGGCGCGCTTTGGCGCTCCGATTCTGTACTGCAGGTGTTCCGGGAAGGCTCCCCGGATAAGGTGACATCCGAGCAGAAGCCAGAAGAAACTAAAGAAATGCAGTCATCGGTGTAGAATTTCAGGGAGAGGGCTCAGCGAGTGCAAAGGCCCGAGTGCAAAGGCCCGGCGCAGGCTGGGCCTGGCCTGGCTCAGGAAGAGGAGGTCTCGCTGCAGGCCTGGCCGAGCAACGGGGAGGACGGGCGATGAGGTCAGAGACCTACCCTGAACCTATGCTGGCTCTACCAGAACTGCAGCTTGTCCTCCAGGTGAGAAGGAAATGACTGGAGAGTTCTGAGCAGAGAAATACACGTATGTCTTACATTCTGAGAGACGCCATCTGGCTGCTATGCAAAAAATCAGTCTTTAAGACTGCAAAGATGGTTACTGGGGTAATCCCAGCGGGAGATGCTGAAGGCCAGAACCAGGGGGCCACAGGGTGGAGACAAGTGGTCAGATCTGGGGTATGTTTTGAAAGTAGGGCCAGGGCCGTGCGATCATGAGTGAGAAACCTCAAGGGCGATGCTGCATTCGGCCGGCTTGGCAGGGCCTGGGGAGGAGGCTTGTCCTGTAGCTCTGACCCTGCAGCTGTACTACAGTTTTTGAAGGAACAGTGTCTGAAAGGTATTATCAAACGTGAGAACATAAATTATTTGGCGCTGGCCGGGTGGCTCAGTTGGTTGGAGTGTCGTCCCGCACACCAAAAGGCTGTGGGTTCAATTCCCAGTAGGGGTGCATGTGGGAGGCAATCAATCGACATTTCTCTTTTACATCCATGTGTTTCCCTCTCTCTCTCTCTCCGTCTCCCTCTCCTTCCTCTCTCTCTAAAAATCAATAAAAAAATAAAATATCCTTGGGTGAGGATTTAAGAAGAGAATGTAAATTATTTGGATGCTCATTATGTATTTCTAGGCTGCTCTCTGAAAGACTGGATCTATTTACAGTGAGAACAGCAAAAAAAAACAGACCGGCATCTTTTCCACCTGCCCCTGGTTACGCTGAAGTTGGCTACTCGGATGGGCCGCACCAACCGATCTTGGCGCCTCAAACCCACGGGCACTTACTGAGTTGCCAGGCAGGCTGGGTCCCTCCAAGCCATTTTGCCAGGTGGCCACCTGCACAGCTGGCGCAGCACGGGCCCCTCACACTGGCTGCAAGACCCACATGTCGCCGCTGAGCCGTCACCTGCACGCCAGCCAGTGCACGCCTGTCACCGGCCCATCGCGTCACCCCACCTAGAACCGCGACGTGAATGAAGGAGGCGACTCCAAACGCAGAAAGGCCGGGGCGAGGGAACGAGATGACACCTGACGGCGGCTGAACTGAGGCGGCGTCTCAGGAAAGACTTGGGGGCCTTCAGGAGGGGGACCAGCGACTGGAACCCGGCTGGACCGGATACGGAGCGGGAAAGAGTCCACAGTGACTCCCGGGCCTTTGGCTGGCGGTGCCCGTCAGGGGTCAAGGCTTAGGAGGAAGGCAGGCGTCCGGCGGCCGCTCCACTTGTCCAGCGTCTTGCTCCCGAACAGTTTGAAGCCAGACACTAAGCTGTTTCGTCCGTGCAGAATTCAGTAGATATGTCTGACAGAGAAAGAGCTGTCCCTCAACGTAACTACAGTAACGTTGCACAGCCCGCAACATCGCCGACGATTCCTCAGATGTTTTCACAGGCAGCGTCCTGCTGCCCCTCCAATGGCAAGTCTTGCTCCTCCTCCCTCCGAGCAGGGACCCACTGCTGTCAGTAACGCCCTGTTCTCCCAGGAGCTGAGCTTTCAAGCTTTCATGTCGTCACTGACTCATCCTGGTTCCCTCTCCCCTCCATCCCTGACGTACAGCTACATACACAGGACACTTCCATGCGTGCAGTTACATACAATACGGTGACCCCCTACCTGGGGAGGCGCGTCCCCACCCCTTTGCGTTTGCAGTCCCCGCCTAGACTCCCCTCCTCTCAGCGGCAGCCATCGCACCCTATGCTCTTGCTGCCCGGCCTGGCCCCGCAACGGACCACGGGCACCCGTTCCGCGAGGCAAGCCTTCCTGAGAGCCTGCTCCCACCACGCCGGAGGCGCCCCCAGGTTCCCGACGGCCTGCCCAGCTGCAGGCTAGCCTTGAACAGACCGAACCCTCCCCATCTCTCCCCGCCTTGTTCTCCTGAGATCATCTAAAACTTTTATGCTTTGCGTATTCTCCAGAGGCCTGGCATGGTTACTACTATGTAATCATTCCTGATCCCAAGCCTTCCCTGGAGGCAACCGCATCCAAAACGAGCTCATGCAGTTGGTACGACACGTACGACGCTTCTGTCCTGGTACCCAGATGCGCGCTTAAAACTGCTACTCAGCTGACTAATGAATGCCTTGTATTTTGGTAGTTTCAACACACAGAAATGGCAATCTCATGTGGCTTAGCCAAAGGCATCCAATGCATTGCTACAAATGCAACGTCAGCCCCTTGCACGCGCTGAGAAGGCAACACAGGGGGCGACGCTGGTGCGCCGTGGCCAACCCCATCGGCCCTGCTCCAGGCGGGCGTCACATGAATGACAGAGAGCACGGAGAAAAGGGTCCTAGACCTACAGTGGTTCCAACTAAACAGCCACGAGAATGAAGTCCCCGTTCCTGCCCTGTAATTTCTTTCGGATTCTCTTTCTACGGTAACTCTTTAGCTAACCTTGTGAAATCTCTGTACCCGGTCTAGGAACACAGGAAAGGACGCTGGGATAAAACCACCTTCCAAAAAGAAGAGCCTCAGAAGAGGCGGGGATAACAACGCGGGGTGCTCGGCGTCTCCCACGGGCAATGCAGAAGGAACAAATGTCAAAAAAGGCAACAATGGGGCCTGTGTAAGGGGTCAAGCTTTTAACTCCCCATCAAATACACAAAATGGACAATGCAATTTCCTCCCCACCTCTACTTAGGCTTTTGGCGATTAAGGGAAAGGGATTGAATAAGAAGTCTCGTCAGTTTGCCTTGGCTGGTGCGTCTCAGTGGACTAAGCACCAGCCTGTGAACCAAAAGGTCACCTGTTAGATTCCCAGCCAGGGCACGTGCCTGGGTTGTGGGCCAGGTCTCTGGCTGGGGCATGCAAGAGGCAACCAACTGATATTTCTCTCCCTCCCTTCACCTCTCTCTGAAAATAAATATATAAAATCTTTTTTAAAAAATATAGTCATTTTAATTTCCTAAACTACTTGACAAATACCAAGACTTTGTTCTATTTCACTGCAAGGAAACATCTGTGCCTTCAACACAGATGTCTGATGAGTGACAATTTACACTGCACTTTGGTGACTAAGCCGCCAACGTTACCATGTATTTATTTCAGAAGTCTGACAAGCCATCTCCGGTGGTTACCCACACGCTCCCGGGATGGGGTCAGACTGCGAGCCAGGATGTTTACGATGTTTTGAAGATACTGTTATGAGAGCCGACCCAGGGATGAATTGAGGCTGGAGTCGGACACCTGGCCGGGAGGGCAGCTCCGCCACTCACGAGCTGCGTGATTTTGGGGCAACTCATCTGTTCCTCCTGCAATATTCAGAGAGCGGCACTCAGTCCCAGGCACTGGCCTGGGTACAAACCACAGGACCGTGGACAGCGGACACTCTGGCTGCAGAAGGAGTCAGTACAGAACTCCTGACTGTGAGCGCTCCCTAAAACGCCTGCAACGTCAGGGATGCGCAATCTGCTCAAAAACATAAGCTGATAACCCTACTCGAGTGACTCCCACTGCGCTGAGCTTCACTCCCACAAGAGAGGGACAGAGGTAACCACTGCACATGGCACACAAGCGCGGCGGGGGCGGGGGAATGTGTGTACGCACGCACTCAAAATCGCGTTTCTTCCAGAGGAGACCCACATGCAGTGCTAAAAATGATTCAAATCTGAAGGAAGGAGGGAACATCAGGAAGATCCCCTTGGCTACTAGACAAGCGCTGCGCGCGTCCGCAGCACAGAGCGCTTCTCCGCCCGCCTGGACCTCTCTCCGAAAACCCGTGCGCGGGTCAAGCCGCTGCTGCAAGCAGCCCAGGCCGGCTCTCCGGCCACTTTCCTGAAAATGGGATGTGACACTCGGAGAGAACAAAGAACAAATGTATTGCTTAAATAGCTCTTCAGAAACACATTCATTTCCCTCCATTTACACGCGGTAAAATTAATGTACCATCTGATCTATACGAGTTAATTGAATTTTTCCTTATTGATCCCTAGACACACGGCACACACCAACATGAGAAATTTTGTCCTGGAAAAATATCATGTAACAACCACTTTTTTTTTACTATATACTTTATTGATTATGCTATTACAGTTGTCCCATTTCTTTCCTCCTCTCTGTTCCCCTCCACCCAGCACCACCCCTCTCCCCAGCATTCCCCGCTCCCCTTAGTTCATGCCCATGGGTCGTACATGTAAGTTCTTTGGCTTCTCCATTTCCTATACTATTCTTATCCTCCCCCTGCCTATTTTGTACCTACTATTTATGCTGCCTATTCCCTGTACCTTCCCCGCCCCCTGTTCTTCCCCTTCTCCTTCCCCTCTGATCTGCATTTCTGTGATTCTGTTCCTGTTCTAGTTGTTTCCTTAGTCTGTTTCTGTTTTTAGGTTCAGTTGTTGATAGTTATGAGTTTGCTGTCATTTTACTGTTCATACTTTTTGATCTTCTTTTTCTTAGGTAAGTCCCTTTAACATTTCATGTAATAAGGGCTTGGTGATGATGAACTCCTTTAACTTGACCTTATCTGGGAAGCACTCTATCTGCCCTTCCATTCTAAATGATAGCTTTACCGGATAGAGTAATCTTGGGTATAGGTCCTTGTCTTTCACGACTTTGAATACTTCCTTCCAGACCCTTCTTGCCTTCAAGGTTTCTTTTGAGAAATCAGCTTATAATCTCATGGGAACTCCTTTGTAGGTAACTGTCTCCTTTTCTCTTGCTGCTTTTAAGATTCTCTCCTTATCTTTAATTTTGAGTAATGTAATTATGATGTGCCTTGGTGTGTGCTTCCTTGGGTCCAACTCCTTTGGGACTCTCTAAGCTTCTTGGATCTCCTGGAAGTCTATTTCCTTGGCCAGACTGAGGAAGTTTTCCTTCATTATTTGTTCAAATGAGTTTTCAATTTCCTGCTCTTCCTCTTCTCCTTCTAGCAGCCCTATTATTTGGATGTTGGAATGTTTAAAGTTGTCCCTAAGGTTCCTAAGCCTCTCCTTATTTTTTCGAATTTTTGTTTCTTCATTCTGTTCTGGTTGAATGTTTATCTCTTCCTTCTGCTCCAAATCATTGATTTCAGTCCCAGTTTCCTTCTCTTTACTGTTGGTTCCCTGTATATTTTTCTTTATTTCACTTTGCAAAGCTTTCACTTTTCCCTCCATTTTGCACCCATACTCAACCAATTCTGTGAGCATCCAGATTACCAGTGCTTTGAACTGTGCATCTGATAAGACTGGCTATCTGTTCATCACTTAGTTCTATTTTTGGAACTATTTTTGATCTGTTCTTTCATTTGGGCCGTATTTGTCTCAGTGCACCTGTTACATTGGGATGGGTGGAGCCATAGGTATTCGCCAGGGCAGGGCAACCCAGGTAGCTGAGTTGTGATGTTGTCTGTGGGGAAGGGGTCCAAGAGGGAACAAGGCCGCTTGCTTGGCTCCCTGCCAGCTTTCAGTCACTTCCCCCACTACCTACAAGCAAAGTGGGCGCTTCTGGTGCTGATTCCTGGGTGGGTGGGTTTGTGTACGTTCTGGGATCCTGGGGGTCTCTCCAACAGACTCTCCTGTAAGGCTGGGAGTTTCTCCTGCAGGCAAAACCCTCACAGGTTTTTACCTCCAGAGGTTCTGAGGCTCTCTCTTCCCACTCTGGAACCCGGGGTTTCACGGGCTGTCTTGTTCCCCAGCTGTTCTTCTGGGCTATCTGCACGCAGATGTGGGACCGCCCGGTCTGCCAGCCGCTGCCTTGCCATGCATCCTCTCCGCCCCGGCTGCCCGTCTCCGCCCCTCCTACCAGTCTGGATGGATGTTTCTTTCTTTCTTTAGCTCCTTGGTTGTCAGATTTCCATACAGTTCGATTTTCTGGCAATTCTCGTTATTTTTTGTTTTTAAATTTGTTGTTCCCCTTCTTTAGGTTGTGCGAGGAGGCAAAGTGTCTCTACCTATGCCTCCATCTTGGCCAGAAGTTATAACAACCAGTCTTTAAAAATCAGCTCACACCCTGACCAGTGTTGCTCAGTTGGTTAAGAGTCATCCCGCAAAGCGAAAGGTCTCGGGTTAGATTCCCAGTGGGTCAGGGCACATGCGTGGGTTGCAGCTTTGGTCCCCAGTCAGGTCATGTGCAAGAGGCAACCAATCAATGTTTCTCTCTCGTATCAATGTTTCTCTCCCTCACTTTCTTACTCCCTCCCCTCTCTCTAAAAAAAAGAATATATTAAAATAAATCAACTTCACAACGTGAACGGTGACTCTGAGGCAAAGAAGGGGTGGCAGGGCACACTTCCGCGCCTGTCAGGGAAGTTACTATGGACACAGCTAAAGCAAGAACCGCTCTGATGTGCAATGTGCTATTAAATGTTAGCAGAGTAGCAAATTCCCAAGCAATCCCAGATTTGTCGCTATCGTCAGGTTACAATCTTATGAAATACCTCCACTTTAAAAATTTATCGAAAAGGAAAATCTGAGCCAAAGGATTTCTCTGTAAAGCCTGCGCGACGTTTTCAGATAAAGCTCTGCAGGTAACCGACACCGAGGTGGTGCAAGGACGACCCTGAGCTGGAATTACCCGGGTCCTTCCTCTCATGAACCAGCAGCACCCGCAGGTTAGAAGGGCAGAATCTCAGGGCCCCTAGACCCTCAATATCCCAATCCACATTTTAACATGACCCTCAGGTGCAATGTGTGCAGTGACATTTGAGATGCACTGGCCTAGGTGTTACGTGTCTGATGACATCAAGACATGGGATATAATGATGCGATGAAATATCTTGCTTTTCAACAAGTACAGGCTTTTAGTCAGGAGGCCCCAACTATTAAAATAAACAGGAAAACATATGGTGCCCGGGAGCCCCAAACTGCCCTCAGCCACCAAGACACTTCAAGAAAGGGTGAGAAAAGATCCTGGCGCTTCCCACCCAGACCGAGTGCCCGAGGGCACCAAGGACGGAGAGAAAGCCCGCGCTGCTCCTACCTGCGAACCGCAACGGGGCGTCTTTGTCCAGGGCGATCAGCGGGGGGTCCAGGAGCACGGTATTGTCATTTTCGGTCACTATGCCGTGATAGGTGGGCTCAAGCCACGGCTTGTGCTTGTTAGCTTTAAAAAAGGAAATACAGCCGGTCAGAATATTTTAAACTGAACTGTTTTTGAAGGTATACATCTATTAAAATAATACAGCTCCCACTGGTCTGGAAAGCCACACTTGTATTTTTTGTTGCCAAGTCTGGTATCAAGATCTAAATGGGATGAAATGCTAAATTGCAGAGTAAGTACTGGAGAGACCGTCCGAGTCCAGGAAGAAACCAGATTCCGCTCCAGAAGCTGAAGGAGAAAGACTGAAGGCCAGTAGACAAGCTCGAACCGTTTTCAATCTGTCACAGGGGAGTCGCAAAGAATGTCACGTCTTTATGACAGTACAGTAACACTTATTTAAAATTAGCATTACAAACAAAAATGTACAAAAAAGATGCAAAATTGACAAGGCTTATGAATACAAAATTACAAACATAAGGTATTAAAATAGAACGACAAAATGCCCATTTCCTAAAACACTTGACTAGGAGTCAGGCTGCCTGAGGGGTCAGATTCCAGCCCTGTCCCCTCTTTGCGCAGTGCGTGACCTTGAGCTCTGACTGACCCCTCGGTCTCCCTTTCCTAGTCTGCAAACCAGGGCCCCCCCACACACACAGAGGGCTGGGGCCATAACGAGAGAAGTGAGGTTTCCCTTCTGGACTGGGCGCTGTAACTGCTACTTTTGTTTCTAAGGCGAGATGCGTGCTGTCCGGGCAGGTGCTTGCCGGGTACCATCCGTTCTTAGTTCCAGCTCCTCCTGTTTTGCCTGGGGCCTGGCTCTGTCCCCATCACAGCCACCACTTCCACTCTGAGCACCCCGCTCCCCGAGCATTCTGAGCTCCATGTCACAGATGGAACCTTGTCATTTTCTTTCTACTGTCACCTCGAGCGGTACCAGTTTGCGTTACACCGCGGGTCACGTGTGAACCACGGGACTCCTCAATTGAGCTGATCTGCCTGGAAGGCAGGGCGCGGAACTGCGTTTGCAGGTAGGCAGCGCCTATTTGTTGAATGAACTACCCAGATGCTTTGCCAGGAGTGCGAATCAATTCAGAAGCACCTGAAACTAAATGCAGATGCTTAACCACCTCCAACACGACGTCACCGGGCCAGGACACTATCCCTCTGCTGCTATGCGATGACCATCACGAAATGACAGGAAAACATCACCTGTGTTCACTCCGCCGCCGCCGCCGTGCACACATAAGGGCTGACGTCTGGAAGCTACCAGCTCTCTGATGGACACATGGTCCGGCGTTGATGACACCACACCGAGCCCTCGGCCCACCCTGGGCCTTCGCTTCCAAAGTCAACCCAGACCCAGAGGACTCGTTTAACGGGTACAGAGTTTCAGTTTTGCAAGAGGACAAGGGTTCTGGGCATGGGCTGCACAACAATATGAATGAATCCACCTAACGCCGCTGTGCAATTGAAATGGTTGCAACGGGAAACCTGGTTATACACATTTTCCCGCATCTGGAACGCCACACACACCCCAAACGCAGGCGCGGCCATTCCCCTCATCGCTGCCGCTCACCTGGACCGTGTATGACAGCGGCGGAGCGACCGCGCCCACTCTTGCCCTCCCGCACCGACTCCTCCCACAGCAGCCGAGGGGTCTGATCCCAACGTGTCCTCAGAGTCCTGCGCTCACAGCCAGCCGCTCACACCACCAAAGAGCCACCGAGGGCCCCTCGGCTTTCGTGTATGCGGGATCGATCAACCCACCTGCCTATCATTATTTACTGTATTGGGAATGAAAACCCAGATAAATTTTAGTATTTTTTAAAATTCATTAAAAAATCCATTAAAAGTTAACATACCAATTATTTTTATGAAAACTACCTTTTTTAAAAACAAAGTTTTTAAGTTTAAAAACTAAGAAGAGGGGCACCGCTTCCCATTCTGGGAATCTCCCTACTGTCCGGCTTCACAGAAGCCAGCTGGCCTCCCGCCTCTGTGACCCGACACGCCGCCTCTAGAAAACTCCGCCGAGCACGCGTGAGAATGGGGGGAAGGCAAGGTAACGTCTTCATGTTTATTAAAATGGCCCTAGCCTCTCGGGTCCCCTGCCACAGTCTCAGGTACAAGTCACCGTGCTTCAGGTCTCTATTCAAATGTGCCCTCCTCCAGCCAGGGCAGCACCTGCCGCCGGGCCCCCATTTCTTCCTCTTCTGCCGCTCGTCCGCTCCTGGCCAGCCCGGCGCAGGCCGGGCAGCGGTGCCAGCCTGGGACCCTGGGGCGGGTTCCCCGGCTTCGGCCACGGGCCTGTTTCCTCATCGGTGCACCGAGGACGGGAGGAGCGCCCACCTCACAGGCTGTTCTGTGATCAAACCCATCACATGCAACAGGCTGGGACAGTGTCATATACAGGAAATGCCACCAGGTGCTGTTGTGTCGTTACCTTCTCCTCCTCTGCTCAGACGTGGACAGACGGGATCTGGGCGGGCATGACCTTTTGTTGCCTGCTAATCAGTGTCCCATCACTCAGGAACTACCTGGCCAATGAACGAGTACATAAGGAACCTCGCAGGTAGTACAAATAAACTCAGCATCCTGGTTTGTGAATTCTCTCATAGAGAAGAGAGTTTGGGCTGAGAACTAAACAGCAGGTATCATTTGGTGTTTTAAACACTGGGAAGGTGGTATTTTTTTGTTTCTGGCAGGTGGATGTCCCAAGTGAGACGATGAGAGACTCCGGAGGCCCTCGTGCGGCAGGCCCCGGGGGATCTGTGCCCAGGTTACGGAGGGACCGGCTCTGATGCCAAACCAGGCCAGGCCAGAAAGGCCGAAATTTAAAGGGCCTTTGGCAAACATCTGCCCCCCACACAAGAGCGGCTCCCGCAATGCTTGGTAAAGGGGAGACCGCGGAAGGTTAGGGTCGGCCGGCCCTCCCCGCTGAGAACGCTGGTGCGGTGGTGCCGCGCGGGCACCCCGAGTCGGCTGCAGTCTTGGGTCTGGGAGGCCCACTGGACACAGAAAGTTCTGGGCAGGCCAAAGGCGGTTCCTAAGGCTGCCACGCCCCACTGCTCCAGGCAGCTCCCCGCCCCGCGTGCTATCTCCCGGGCTGGGATGCAGGCGGCGGGTCATTGTGGGTGTGACGCTGACAAACAGGCCCCTGCGCAGAAAGCCCTCTCAAACCGCCACTGCTTGTCACTCATCTCTCCTTTCAAAACGCAGAAGCTACTATTACGTCAATCTACTGCTGATAATGTACCATTAAGAGCAAGAGTCAATCCCCATTTGTTTTCATATTTAAGGTTTTATTAATAAAATTGGAAGCACAGCAAATAAAATTGAAGACTATTCCAATATGTGAGTCCCAGGAGGAAAGGAAAAATACTAGGCAAACTGCAGGAGCCCTGGGACAGTAGAAAATATAAAAGGTAGTAATATGAAACGTGTATTTCTGCTACACTAATGGAAAGGCCTTGAGCTGAAAATGGCCAATGGTTCAAGGCAAAAAATAATTTTGCAGTGATACTCCCAGTTCTTTTTATTTTTTCCCCAGTCTTCTAATTTTACAATTCAAACTTCCTAAATTGCTCCTTTAGGCTGGCGGTAGAATGAAGAGATTTGGCAAGTTCCAAAGACTGAACTTTTAAATATTTAATAAATGATATTTTTAATATTTCATCACATTCAATTGGCATGATAAAATATTTATGGAAACAAGTGACTGATGTTTCTGTAATCATCCAAAAAAGAACCCACAAATAAAGGCGAGAGATCACCAGCCACAGGCCCAGGAACGGGCCACCCACGCTGCAAGTCCGATTCGTTGCTTCAAATTCTGGATCACAAAAAAGCCAACACAACTTGGAATGGCCTAGTCTTCATTAAAACCGGGAACTGGCCAGGCAACCGATCATGCAGACCTTCTGTAGACGTGGGCTACATCCGGGGTGCATGCCTGTCACTCTAGGACATGGGTAGTTTTTGTGGTCATGAAATCACCCTATTTAAAAATCAAAGTGAAAAGAATACCATCGTCAACTTCAGGGTTTATTTTTTTAAACAGATTTTATTTATTTATTTTTAGAGAGAGGGGAAGGGAGGGAGAAAGAGAGGAGGAGAAACATCATGGTGTGGTTGCCTCTCAAGTGCCCCCAACTGGGGATCTGGTCGCATGCGCCCTGACTGGGAATTGAACCAGCAACCCTTTGGTTCGCAGGCCGGCGCTCAATTCACTGAGCCACACCAGCCAGGTCAGCGTTAACTTTAAATACAAAAACTTATACCTTCCTAGTACATCCGAATTCTGTGGGCAAAAGAGAGGTTGCCCCCTTGTCCGCGTCACACAAGTTGCAGACCCCCAGCAAGGAGGTTCCAAGTGTGGCAGCCCCAGCACCAACCCGGCACCAGAGTTCTTGCCTGACAAGTTTGTTTACAGAGAGAAATCCACCCTTTCGAAAAACAAACTTAGTGTGTGCCTCTTCTCAGTACAGAACACCTATGTTGGTAATATATGCCCAATAACAAGATAATAATAAATAACGACAGCTATATGTTTTAAGAGACTGCAGGCATTTCACCGGTCCATCTCAGACACTTCCATGTTTTGTTTGCAGGTTGAACGGTTAACCTTGGTCTGCCAAAAGAATCTGCAATTAAGAAACACTGCCACTAGGTGGCGATAGGTGCCTTGGAGTACATGCTGCAAATGACAGGGCTTTAATTGAAAAATCCGGCTCCTGATTTACTAAAGGAGCAGCATGTAGTCTGTTAGCAGATCCCTCATTAAAGGCAATATGCATAGGAAAGTGTCTTAAACCATAAAAGTATGACATCTCCAGCTGATTCTTTTTTTCTCAAAAAACATCTAAAATGAGTAAATTATTCATACAGTTCCAAAATAAAAATATAAAAAGGCCTATGTTCTTTGGACTCCCTGAGCACTGTCTCCCGTCACGGGTTCCCATTTAGAGCAGATCGCCGCGGGTCCTTCCAAGCGGCCTAACGGCCATGGGCTTTCGCTCTGCTCAGGAGCCCAGGGACTCGGCGGTGTCTCCTCAGCGCCCTCT